TGAAACATGTAAAATGACGGTGTGTCCCACTTCAGGGAAATCTTAAAGAAACGCCAGAAAAAGGCCTCTCTGGACAGATATTTTGTGCGACAGGGGTCCAGTGACTCTCAAGTTGTTCCCAGTGGCATTAAAAGAAGAAGGGAAGTAACCCCAGATAAGGACTTGCTACCTAAAGCCCTAATGGAAGGAGATTCTCCTTCCAAACAATAGTGTACACCTTCCTCCTATCCCCTCCTGTCTTCCATCCACCCAGAAGTCTTCAGTAAAGGTAAGTGTAATGTTGTTATTATTTTTTTAAATGCATGTACTTGATTTCTGATTGTTTTCATTATGTAAATCTTTATTTAATTTGAAAAAAAATATTTTATTTTAATATTTTTGGGTGTCTGGAAAGGATTAATTTTATTTCCATTATTTCTTATGGGGAAAATGGTTTCGAGTTTCGTGAATTTCGACCTTCGGTGTGCTCTCTGGAACGGATTAATCACGAAACTCGGGGGTCCACTCTATATATATATGTATGTACATATTTGCGATTGCTTGGTCTCATTTGATAGAATGGAAGACATATTACAGAAATAGAGATGATTTTGATTGGTTTTAGTACTGGAAATGGCTTGAAACTGAGTTCAAAGTAGCGGAAATGTTAAATTTTTGCCGATGTTCAAGAGTAAACTAATGGCCTCACACGTCTTATACACACCTGTTGGTGGGTCTAATATACGTTCACAAATGTGCTGATATTATTTATACAATTATTACAATATTGCATAACAGTAAATCTTCTATTTTTTGGTTTGAATAAAAATTCATTATGTGAATAAAAAATCAAAATGGAATTCATTTGTAAAGCCTGAAAATGCAACTAATGAACAGAGGAAATGTTAGTTTAGTGCCAGGAATGCCTGCATTGTTTATTCTGGACCCTATTTTGAAATTGGAGTATTTTGAACTTTGCATTAAATTGGCCAAATTACCAATTTCTGATCACTTTATTTTGTAGTTGAAACAGTTGACTTGGCGAATTCTTTTGCTCAGTCGATAGAATAAAAGTAATACTCGTGAAATAGCTAAGAATTTGGTCGACTGGAATACTAATGTAATTGGCCTAAAATGGGAGTCAAAGTCGGCAAAATTGCCGATGCGTAAATATCGCTGACACATCAAAATTCACAAGAGGATAAGTTCGTCAATTTTCCATCAAATTTCGTACTTTTTGTTTTATTATCTTCAGAAAAAGATTCTCGACCATTTTATAAGAAAAAATAATGAAATATTTTTTGAAAATTCTTGGACACTGGTGCACACTTCGAAATTTGGCCTCTGGATCCTGAAGGGGTTAACTGAGTTTTTTATCGTTAGCCAAGCCAGTATTTTGACACAAAAATATACCGGTATCCGATTTTATCGCTATCCGATGGCATCGTTAATTGAGGGTCCACTGTACATTGCCAATACAGTGGACCCTCGACCAACGATATTAATCTGTTCCTGAGAGCTCATCGCTAGTCGAAATTATCGTTAGTCGAGTTAATTTTCCCCATAAGAAATAATGGAAATCAAATTAATCCATTCCTGACACCCCAAAGTATTGAAAAAAAAAAAAATTACCACATGAAATATTAATTTTAATGCACACAAACTGAAGAAGACATGTACAATTACATGACGCTTACCTTTATTGAAGATCTGGTGATGATTGATGGGATGGGAGGAGGGGAGAATGTGGATGGTGTTAGTGTTTAGAAGGGGAATCCTCTTCCATTAGGACTTGAGGTGATAGTCCTTTTCTGGGGTTACTTCCTGTCTTCTTTTAATGCCACTAGGACCAGCTTGAGAGTTACTGGACCTCTGTTGCACAACGTATCTGTCTATAGAGCTCTGTACATCCTGTTCCTTTAAGACTTTCCTAAAATGGGCCATAACATTGTCAATGTACAGGTTGCCAACACGGCTTGCAGTAGCTGTGTCAGGGTGATTTTCATCAAAAAAGGTTGAAGTAGGCAACTTCCTCAATTTCTCTATCCCCTCCTCCGGAGCAGTTTCCTCAGGTCTGGCCTCTTGCTGTTGAAGATGATCTTGCAGCTAATCAGTGGTTATTTCATTATTGTCATCCTCCACTAACTCTTCCACATCCTCCCCACTAACCTCCAACTCCTTAGCAATGATCTCTTTCTTCATATCCATAGTAATTCTCACCCTTTTTGCCATAGGGTTGGCACTAGAAGCTGCCTTGGGGCCCATGGTGACTTATTTTGCAGGTGCAATCTCTAAAAATGCTGTGATAATATGAAATGTTCGATTGTATGTTTGGATGGGACCGCGGTGGCTGGCTGGCTGGCTTGTAAACACTGGCCACAAGTGGACATGTCTCGAACGGAACGAATCGTGTTGGTCGAGTTTTTTAGCGCTAGCCGAGGCAAAATTTTTGCGTTAAAATGTATCGTTAGTCGGATTTAATGTTAGACGATCCCATCGTTGGTCGAGGGTCAACTGTAATTTTATTTTTTATTGTTTTTGCCAAGGAGCAGTGTTAACATATAACCAGGATTTCATGAACTGAATTCTGTTCCTCATTCACAGTGTCCATCTGGGCTTCTCTGCCCCGCACCCAGAGAGGACAGCCCATTGTTTTGGGTGTAGATCATAAGGGAAAGAAACTCCTGTATGGCAATGGCAACTCTGTGATCATCCGTGACCTTGAGGTAAGCTTTTTCCTTATACTCTTATGCTCACATAAACTTAAGATCTCTTTTTCTTCCACACTTATGCAGTCTCACTCTTTCCTACTATCTCTCACTCTCATATTCTCTCTCTCAGGCTCTCTTTGTCATGCTTTTCAAGCTCTCTTTTATGATTGCTTTTTTCATGCACTCTTATTCTTGCATGTTTTCTCATTAGCATGCTTCTTCACTCCTGCATTCTCCTTCACTCTCTTATATACTCTTTTGCACTTCCATGCTCTCTCACTCTTACATGCTCTCTCTCACTTACACAGGGGCAGCACTGGAATTTTTATACTGGGGGGTCTTGGGGTGGCTTTTTAGTTGCTTGGGGGGGAGGAGGGGTGCTAGGAGACTTGTCTTGAATCAGCAGCATTATTATTATAGTATTTCTATTTTTATTTGAGGGGACTTTGGGTTGAAACCCACCCCAGCCCCCCTTCCTCCCTTAGTGCTGCTTGTACAACCCTTGCATACTTATTCTCTATTGCATGTTTGCTCTCTCTCTTGCATGCTTGCTCTCTTTAATGCATGCTTGCTCCCTTTAATGCATGTTTGGTCTCTTTCATGTTTGCTCTTTTTCATGCTTGCTTTCTCTCATGCTTGCTTTCTCTCATGCTTGCTTTCTCTCATGCTTGCTTTCTTTCATGCTTGCTCTTTTGCATGCTTTCTCTCTTGCATGCTTGTTTTCTTTCTTGCATACTTGTTCTCTTTCTTGCATGCTTGTTCGCTCTTGCATGCTTGTTCTCTCTCTCTTGCATGCTTGTTCTCTCTCTTGCATACTTGTTCTCTCTCTTGCATAATTGTTCTCTCTCTTGCATGCTTTTCTTTCTTACATGCTTGTTCTCTCTTGCATGCTTGTTCTCTATTGCATGCTTGTTCTCTTTCTTGCATGCTTGTTCTCTTTCTTGCATACTTGTTCTCTCTCTTGCATACTTGTTCTCTCTCTTGCATACTTGTTCTCTCTCTTGCATACTTGTTCTCTCTCTCTTGCATACTTGTTTTCTCTCTCTCTCTCTTGCTCTTGCATGCTCGCTCTCTCTCTTACATGCTTGCTCTCTCATGCATGCTTACTCTTGCATGCTCACTCTGTTAAATGCTTGTGTGCTCTTGCTTGCTATTCCACTTGTATGCTCTTTATTAATACTCTCACAAATGTGCTCTTTCTCTCATGCCTTCAATTTAAGAATTAATCTAAGTCTGCCCGAAATGCCTAGCCATGCTAGGTGTTCTAGTGGTACACTCTGTAATTATTATTTTACTACATGTAAACCACACAATAACCAAATTCTGTAAATTCAGCATTGTAATCCTTATAGAGAATAAACTTGGAATTTGAATTTGTGCTCTGTCTTATGCTCTCACTCTTATACTTTCACTTGTACTCTCTCTTTTATAATCTTGTATACTTTCACTCACATTCACACCTGGCCAGTGAAATAGTAGAGGCAGAATCTCTACATAACTTAAGAATAGATATGAAAGGGCTCATGCAGCTAGGAGAGTGTGAAACTGGTAGCAGAGAGTAGGGGCCAGGAGTTGAGACTCGACCCCTGTAACCACAGTTAGGTAGGTATACTCTTGTACTCTGTTGTATGCTCTTTTGTATACTTTCTTGCATGTTCTTTTTTATTTTTTTTTACACATTGGTTTTACTGGGTTAGGTTATGACTTCCTACTATTATTTACAAGCTAAGAGCTATTACCTACCTTTGCTCATTTGAAAGCATTTTTATTGTTATGAGGCATACAGATAAAGAATAGGATGAAGTTGGACCATCTATGGGACAGTGATTTATTTCATTTGATCAACTGACTTTATTTCATCGATGTCATTATCCTTGGCGAACATGTTCCAGCTTCGGGTCATTCTTGGAATGAATGATCTCAGAGAATGTGATGTTCTTGAGAAAGGTATAGACAAAGTGTAGTTGCTGTTTACTGCCTATCTTATTGTACAGTAGCTGTTTTCTCATTGTCAGCAAATTAGGAAACAGAGCAAGATGGCTCATTTCTCATCTGGATCCAGCCTAGACCGATCAGTCATTTCAGCAGAGCCTTCAACACTGGAGGGATGTGGGTGGCCTTACATGGCTTTACTGCTAGGTACATGGCCAATGTTTTCAAGAAGTTATAGATGAGATGGAGCAGGCAGTCTAAGAAAGTGGAGCATACTCAAGGTGTGAGGGCACTTGCATCTTGTACAGTCTTGCTGCCTCTGCTATCAAGCAGATGCAAGATATTTTTAACCCTTTCAGTGTCGAGACCCCTGTTCCCAAACCTGCTCTCAGGGTTGAAGAATTAAAAAAAAATTATTCTATCTTATAAAATGATAGAGAATCTTTTTCCGAAGGTAACGAAACCAAAAGTATGAAATTTGATGGAAAACTTATGGAATTATACTCTTGCAAAGTTGTTGGCCTTGGCAATATTTATGTATCAGTAATTTTGCCCACTTTGCCCTCTAATTTTGGCCAATTCCATTGTTCCAGTCCAAACTCGTAGCTATTTCACAAGTACACTGTATTCCTTCTATTCTATCGATTGAGTACAAGAAACTGCTCATGTGCCTATTTCAACTGCCCAATAAAGTGATAAGAAATTGGTAATTTGGCCAGTTTCATATAAAATTCAAAAATTGCCAGTTTGAAAATAGGGTGCAGAATAAGCAATGTAGACATTCCTGGCATTAAATAAACATTTCGTCTGTTCCTTAGTCACATCTCCAGTCCCCTCTTACATTACCACTACTTTTCATTTTGAATTTTTATTCACAAAAATAGAAGATTTACTGTTATGCAGACTATTGCATTATTGTAATAAATGTATAAATAATGTTAGTGCACTCCTAAATATGTATTAGACTGGACAGTTGGATGCATATTGGGCAATTGACATAATTTGTGAGCTCTGGAATATTGGCAAAAATCAAACATTTCTGTTACTTTGAGTGCAGTTTCAAGCTACTTTCAATCCTGAAACATATCAAAATCATCTTTATTTCTGTGATATATCCTCCATTCTATCAAGAAAACGAGAATACAGCCATAAAAACCATTCGAAAATACACCGCAAAGTCGCTGTTTTAAACCAGAAATATGGTTGCATTTTTTTTCATGCACTGCATGCTGCATGATTTTTATTATATGGTGCACACTTACCACATAAACCCATTATCTCATATCTAGGCCCAAATTTACTGCTCACAATGGAAATAAATGGTATAAAATACCAACACAATGGAAATATAAACACATGCAGTTTAATGTGATCCTTTATTGACAATGTTTTGCCCACACAGTGGGCTTTTTCAAGTCACAAACAGATCTGAGATCTGGTTGTGACTTGAAAAAGCCCACTGTGTGGGCGAAACGTTGTCAATAAAGGATCACATTAAACTGCATATGTGTTTATACTTACTGCTCAGAACTTATCTGAGTGAGCTGAGCTCATGGCGTCATACTACGGGACTGACACTGGCTTCCACGCCGTGATATAACGGGACCAAGGCTGAAAGGGTTAAGTACTGTTAACTTCATGGAATAAAATTTCACCCCAAGGATATCAACCTCATCTCTGGGTTTCAACACATTCCCATTCACTTTTACCACTGCTCCAGCTGTACCATCATGGTGCCTAGAGACAATTATTTGTGTTTGCTCAAGCAAATGTAACTTGCCATCAATTTCCCCAGGCTGATTAAAGTTGTAAGCTAGTGATTGATGTAACTGAGAACAGCTGGCATTTCCTCTCCCGGATAAATAAATGTCAGAGTACTGTCGTCTGCATAAGCATAGGATTCTGGGATGAGTTGAAGGAGGTCATTGAAGTAGACATTCTATAACAATGGCCCAAGTTTCTCTTACCTGTGGAATACTGGCACCAGTTGGGTGTCTTATTGACTCCCATTGAGAACTGCTCTTAGAGATCTACCTTGAAAATAATCAAGGTGTAGAGCCAAAGGCTTAGTGCTTACAGTTTTGCCAAGAGTCCCTGATGCCATACTCTGTTGAAAGTGCCAGTAATATCCAGGGCTACTACACAGCTGTTCTTGGATTTGTCAAGTGAGTGGTGCCAAATAGTGGAGAGGTTTATCAGCAGATCAGCAGCAGTGACTTTTTCTGAAGCAATATTGATGTTCATAAAGAAGCAAGTGGTAGCAGAAAATTGCTGTCACTTGCCATGACAGTATTGTCTCAAAATCTTGCCAGTGATTGACAGAAGTGACAGTGGTCTGCAGTTGCTGATTTTTGCTCTGCTTTTCTTTCGGTGAACAGGGACTACATTTGCATACTATAATGGTAGTGAGTTTGTGCCAGTCATCTTTGATAACATTTCTGGTATATTTTTAAATGTTTACACAGTAGTCTACTGTATATTGAAATAAACAGAATAGAGGAAATCAGCTCTTAATATACATTATGTAGGTATGAATACTGGTCAGACAGCCATTCGTAAGTCTGAGGCGTCAGTAAATGAGTACATCACTAAGTGAGGAGAGGCTGTACTTGGTAATCTTGGCTCACCTCATCTGGATCCACAGCCTTTTCTTGGTCCTCTGACAACTTTGACATAGTTTTTGTGGCTAGCAAAGGAAGGTTTTCTTACTGCATCAGGAACCTGCATCTTGGCAGCAAAGTGTTTAGCAAAGAAGTCAGCCTTCTCCTGACTGCTAGTAGAGAGTCCCATCCTGTCAATTTAGAGGTGGAATAATTCATCATGTGAATAACTTTGTCAGTTCTTGACCAAGAATCACCGCTTTTTTAGAAGATGTTTTTATTTTTTTTTGCCCTTTTATTGGGGGGGGGGGGTTTTTTAAATTGGGGGGGCCAGTGGGGTGGGGGGTGGGGTTTATATTTTAAATTTTTTAAAGGGGGTTTGGGGGGGGTTTTTTTTTTAAAAATTTTTTTTTTTTTTTTTAAAAAAAAAAAAAAAAAAAAAAAAAAGTGAGGCCCCGGGGGGAAAAAAAAAATTTTTCCCCCCCCCCCCCCCTTTTCCCCCCCCCCCCCCCCCCCCCCCCCCCCCCCCCCCCCCCCCCCCCCCCCCCCCCCCCCCCCCCCCCCCCTCCTTCCCCCCCCCCCCCCCCCCCCCCCCCCCCCCCCCCCCCCCCCCCCCCCCCCCCCCCCCCCCACCCCCCCCCCCCCCCCCCCCCCCCCCCCCCCCCCCCCTACCCCCCCCCCCCCCCCCCTTCCCCCCCCCCCCCCCCCCCACCCCCCCCCCCCCCCCCCCCCCCCCCCCCCCCCCCCCACCCCCCCCCCCCCCCCCCCCCTCCCCCCTCCCCCTCCCCCCCCCCTTCCCCCCCTCCCCCCCCCTCCTCCTCCCCTCCCCCCCCCTCCCCCTCCTCCCCCCTCCCCCCCCTCCTCCCCATCCCCTCCCTCCTCCTCCTCCTCCTCCCCTCCTCCCTCCTCCCCCCCTCCCTCCTCCCTCCTCCTCCTCCTCCCCCCTCCTCCCCCTCCTCCTCCCCCTCCCTCCTCCTCCCCCTCCTCCTCCTCCTCCCCCCTCCCCTCCCCTCCCTCCCCCTCCCTCCTCCCCCCTCCCCTCCTCCCTCCTCCTCCCCCTCCTCCTCCCCCCCCCTCTCCCCCCTCCCCCTCCCCCCCCTCCTCCCCCTCCTCCCTCCTCCCTCCTCTCCCCTCCCCTCCTCCTTTCCCCCCCCCCTCCTCCCCCCCCTCCCTCCTTTCCCCCTCCTCCCCCCTCCTCCCCCCCCTCCTCCCCCCTCCCTCCCCCTCCTCCCCTCCCCTCCCTCCCCCTCCTCCTCCCCCTCCTCCTCCCCTCCTCCCTCCTCCTCCTCCCTCCTCCCCCCTCCTCCCCCCCTCCTCCCTCCTCCCCCTCCTCCCCCTCCTCCTCCTCCCCCTCTCCCCCTCTCCCCCCCTCCTCCCTCCTCCTCCCCCCCTCCCCCCTCCTCCTCCCCTCCTCCCCCTCCTCCTCCCCCTCCCCCCTCCCTCCTCCTCCTCCTCCCTCCTCCTCCCTCCTCCCTCCCCTCCCCCCTCCTCCTCCCCTCTCCCCCTTCTCCCTCCTTCTCTCCTCGCTCTTCCTTTTCCCTCCTCTTCCTCTCCTTCTTCCTCCTCTCCTCCCTCTCTTTCTCCTCTTCTTCCTTTTCCTTTTCCTCCTCTCTCTCTCCTTTCTCTTTCTCACTATTATAATGTAATTATTAATAAAGCAATTTACAATATTTTTTTCACATGATTGATATAAACTTTTCAGAATCCTGCCATTGCTGAAGTGTATACAGAACACTCAATCCAGGTCAACGTAGCTCAGTATTCACCCTCAGGATTTTACATCTGCTCTGGAGGTGTGTATGTGGATTAACATTTTCCTCAGTGATGAATGACTGAAAAGGTCCCTAAACTTTGAAATTCATATGAAATGATAGAGAATCTTTTCCCGATCATAATGACACCAAAAGTATGAAAATTGGTGGAAATCTTACGGAATTATGCTCTCGCGAAGTTAGCAGTCTCGACAATGTTTACACATCGGCGATTTCGGCAACTTTGAGTCCTATTTTCGGCCAATTTCAGTGTACTAATCAACAAAAATCATATCTATTTTGCTAGAACTCCATTTTTTCTATCGAATGAGTACAAGAAACACCTATTTACCGATTTCAAGTATCCAATGAAGTGCTCAGAAATTGGCAATTTTGTCAATTTCACACAAATTTCAGAAGATGCCAGTTTCTAAATAGGGACCAGAATAAGCAAGACAGACATTCCTGGCACTAAAATAACATTTTCTCTGTTCATTAGTCACATCCTCAGGCCCCTCTTACATCTCTTTTGCTTTCCACTTTGAATTTTTATTCTCATAAAAATAGAAGATTTACTGTTAGGCAGACTACTGCATTAGTGTAGAAATGGTATAAATAGTATCAGTATACTTGGGAAAGAATATTAGACTCACCAGTTGACATGTATTGGACACTTGGCATGATTTGTTTACTTTTGAAATTTGGTAAAAATCAAACATTTCTACTATTTTGAGCTTAATTTCAAGGTACTTTTTCTTATGAAACCAGTCAAGATCATCTCAATATCTGTAATATGTCTTCCATTCTATAAAATGAGACCAGGAAAACTAGAATACACCCATAAATACCATACGAAAATACGTACACTGCAAACTCGCTGTTTTAAACCAAAAATACGGTCGGAGTTTTTTTTTTCTCATTATGCACTGTGTGCTGCAGGATTTTTTTTATACTGTGCACACTGACCACATAGACCCATTCTTTCATATGTAGGCCTACCAGCTTTCTCTCTAGATTTGAAGGCGCTAGAATTTAGACGTTCTAGTACGTCAATAACCCAGAAAGGGTTAAGGTACTATTATTAGGATATTATTATTGGGGTATTATTATTAGGGTATTATTATTAGGGTATTATTATTAGGGTATTATTATTAGGGAGTGTGAGCAAAGTAACATTATGAAGGGATTCAGGGAAACTGGCAGGCCGGACTTGAGTCCTGGAGATGGGAAGTACAGTGCCTGCACTCTGAAGGAGGGGTGTTAATGTTGCAGTTTAAAAACTGTAGTGTAAAGCACCCTTCTGGCAAGACAGTGATGGAGTGAATGATGGTGAAAGTTTTTCTTTTTCGGGCCACCCTGCCTTGGTGGGAATTGGCCAGTGTGTTAATAATAATAATAATAATAAAAATATTATCATTAGGGTATTATTATTTTTTATTATTTTTAACTCATCCATCTACTAAGGCATGGTGATACAAAGCATACATTCACTGTCATTCATTCACTTGCTGTCTTTTCAGAAGTGTGCTGATATCACAATCAGATTACCCTTTGACTGCAACATCCCACCCTTTCTTCAGAGTGCAGGTATTGCCCTTCCCACCTCCAGGACTCAAGTCTGGCTACCTGGTTTCCCTAAATCTGCTGAATAACGTTAACTTGGTCACACTCCAACAGCATGTTCATCAAGAACCAGGTGGGAAGCACAGTGAAGGAAATGTGGGGATGTGCAGTTTGGAGGGTCATCTAAATTCTGATGTCTCCACACTTCTGGCAAAACAGCTATTTAGTGACTAATAAATGTATTTGCATGTTTTGGGCCATCTTACCTAAGTGAGAGATGATTGGTGCATTAAAAAATAAATATATGACTTGATTAAAGAAAATAACTTGTACATATCCTTGTTAGTAAGTCATGCCAAAATTGGAAAAATACAAACTGCAGATGCAAAAAGAATGCAGTGGAAACACTTGGACAAATTTTGGGAATCATTTACAGGGTTGCTTCAGTTTGACATGGGCATAGGTATAATAGTTATGAAGCTGACAGACAAAAAAGAGGGACAAAAAACAGGGTTCTATCTGGGGTGAGAACAGCTCAAAAATGTTGAAAAAAGGACTCATTGCCTGAAATCTGTTCCCTGAACTGCATATATATATAATAACATCAGCAATATAGGCTTAGCATGGAAACATCGAGTGGCATTTAGGAACCTAGACAGATGTAAATATGCAGCACTGGTGTGGAAATTCTTGCCTGTTAAAACAAAGTGAAGTGAGTAATTACAAATTAGTGTAAGAAGACTGGAACTTATATTTATTAAGAAAGCAGTAAAGAAAGAATGAAAGAGCTAGGTCTTCATCACTAGTGGAATTAAAATGGGATATACTCATGAAATAGAAATTTTTGTACACCAGGCGTAGATCAGTAAAGAAAGATGGACTCTTTACTAGGAATGTAACAAACACAAAAAGACATGGTAGAAAATTACTTTCTCAATGAACCCCAGCAATATCAGAAAATATTTTAACAAAGTAGTAAAGGTGTGGAAGTGAATAATGATACAGTGGAAGGAAGACTCCATACAGGGGTTTAGAAATAGATATGATCATTATGTCGCATCAGTCACTTGAAGCTAAAAAGCAAGACCAAAACCAAGACTTTGTAGACTCAAGTAGGTACTGTAATTACAAATACACAAACACATACATGTGCACCTATTGTGCCTTGTAAACCAAACATGCTGACTTATGCAGTAGTGGTTGTTTTGCCAAACAAGTTTAGCATATACAATGTTCAGTTTTGTTTTAACTCTGTAAAATAAGCAGAAACAAGACAAAATTAATATATTTGACTGCTGTTATTTAATACTAAATGAAAATTAGGTTGACCTAACAATGGTTAATTCACATGACTATATTTTAATACATAAGATAGTTTTCAATTTTTTTTTTTTTTTAGGCAGTTTGACTTGTTTGCTTTTTTAGGCATGAGATGCACATTTATGTATACAGCCTCACCTCACTTAACAGCGGAGTTCCGTTCCTAAGACCACATTGGTAAATGAATTCTTCGCTAAGTGAGGAGCATACTGTAATGGTAGTGGGTTTGTGTCACCTATCTTTGATATTGTTTTAATGTCACCTTTGCACCATTTATAGCATTTTCGGCATATTTTTAAATGTTTATACAGTAGTGTACTATATATTGTAATAAACAGAATAGAGGAAATCAGCTCTGATATACATTATTTAGGTATGCATGCTGGTCAGAGCCCGTTGTAAGTCCAAGTCGTCAGTAAATGAGTATGTCGCTAAGTGAGGAGAGGCCGTATATAGTACATACATATAGTATGCTTTAGTGAAAATTTTAGAGTAGAGGACAATTTTGTGTAGAAATACACCATGCAATATTAAGATGATCTGCTCAGTCTTATTTGCCTTTAGATCAGCATGGCAAAGTGCGCATCTGGGACACCATTAACCCTGAACACATTCTCAAAGCGGAATACCAACCCTTGGGAGGCCCAATTCGGGACGTCTGCTGGTCTCATGACTCGCAGCGAATATGTGTTGTTGGCGAAGGTCGAGGAAAGTGAGTGGATATGATCTTAGTACTTTAGTCTTGTCATACTGGATCGTGTCCTGAATATGTTTAAATTCAGTATTGAATAATATTAACATTTTTATAATTATTAACTGTCTTGTATATACTACAACACAGCTTTGAGGCTTGGCACATTTTACAGTTCTGATGAATGAGAATCACAATACTATTGCAGGAACAGTTCACAAAGAACATACACAGAGGACAGGAAACTTAAGTGATGTTTTAGTCCATCCTGGAACATTATCAAGTTATGACTTGACGGTGATCCGTGACGAACTGCAATGTTGTTTAGAGTTTCCTCTCCTAAATATGTGTTATTTATGAATTTTTCAATGTTCACAATGCTGTTTGGATGAACACCCTTCCCATTTAAGTTTTCCCCTTGGGTTAATTGTCTAGGGAAAGTATGGATTTGTCAATTAAAAACAGAGTAGGGGAGTTAGTAGATGGGGAGATGGAGGTATTAGGTAGATGGCGAGAATATTTTGAGGAACTTTTAAATGTTAAGGAAGAAACAGAGGCAGTAATTTCATGCACTGGTCAGGGAGGTATACCATCTTTTAGGAGTGAAGAAGAGCAGAATGTAAGTGTGGGGGAGGTACGTGAGGCATTACGTAAAATGAAAGGGGGTAAAGCAGCTGGAACTGATGGAAACATGACAGAAATGTTAAAAGCAGGGGGGATATAGTGTTGGAGTGGTTGGTACTTTTGTTTAAAAAAAAATGTAGAAAGGGGGGAAGGTCCCTAGGGAGGGCAGAGAGCATGTATAGTCCCTTATATAAAGGGAAAGGGGACAAAAGAGACGTAAAAATTATAGAGGAATAATTTTTACTGAGTGTACCAGGAAAAGTGTACAGTAGGGTTATAATTAAAAAATTTAAAGGGGTATGACAGAATGTAGGATTGTGGATGAGCAAGGGGGTTTTTCAGAGTGGGTAGGGATGTGTAGATCAAGTGTTTACATTGAAGCATATATGTAAAAATATTTAGATAAAGGTAAGGGGAAATTTTTATTGAATTTATGGATTTAGAAAAGGCATATGATAGAGTGGATAGAGGAGCAATGTGGCAGATGTTGCAAGTATATGGAATAGGTGGGAAGTTATTAAATGCTGTAAAGAGTTTTTATGAGATAGGAGACCAGGTTAGGGTGTGTAGAAGAGAGGGGGACTACTTCCCGGTAAAAGTAGGTCTTAGACAGGATGTGTAATGTCACCATGGTTTGTTTAATGTATTTATAGATGGGGTTGTAAAGGAAGAAATGCTAGGGTGTTTCGGGAGAGGGTGGGGTTAAATTTTTGGGAATCAAATTCAAAATGGGAAATTTACACAGTTACTTTTTGCTGATGATACTGTGCTTATGGGAGATTCTAAAGAAAAATTGCAAGGTTAGTGGATGAGTTTGGGAATGGTGTAAAGGGAAAGAAAGTTGAAAGGAACATAGAAAAGAGTAAGGTGATGAGGGTGTCAATGATTTAGATAAAGAAAAATTGGATATAAAATTTGGGGGAGGAGGAGTAGGAAGAAGTGAATGTTTTCAGATACTTGGGAGTTGACGTGTCGGCGGAGGGATTTATAAGGATGAGGTTAATCATAGAATTGATGAGGAAAAAAGGTGAGTGGTGCTTTTGAGGTATATGTGGAGTCAAAAAACGTTATCTATGGAGGCAAAGAAGGGAATGTATGAAAGTATAGTAGTACCAACACTCTTAAATGGGTGTGAAGCTTGGGTGGTAAATGCAGCAGGAGGAGAACGGTTTTGGGAGGCAGTGGAGAGTCCTGTTTAAGGGCAATGTGTGTGTAAATTTTATGCAGAAAATTTTCGGAGTGTTGAAATTAGGAAAAGGTGTGGAGTTAATAAAAGTATTAGTCAGAGGGCAGAAGAGGGGTTGTTGAGGTGGTTTGGTCATTTAGAGAAAAATGGATCAAAGTAGAATGACATGGAAACATATAAATCTATGGGGGAAAGGGAAGGCGGGGTAGGGTCTCCTCGAAAGGGTTGGAGAGAGGGGGTAAAGGAGGGTTTTGTGGGCAAAGGGCTTGGACTTCCCAGCAAGCGTGCGTAAGCGTGTTTTGATAGGAGTGAATGGAAACGAATGTAAATTGGGACCTGACGATCTGTTGGGGTGTGAGCAGGGTAATATTTAGTGAAGGGATTCAGGGAAACCGGTTATTTTCATATAGTCGGACTTGAGTCCTGGAAATGGGAAGTACAATGCCTGCACTTTAAAGGAGGGGTTTGGGATATTGGCAGTTTGGAGGGATATGTTGTGTATCTTTATATGTGTATGCTCCTAGACTGTTGTATTCTGAGCACCTCTGCAAAAACAGTGATAATGTGCGAGTGTGGTGAAAGTTGAATGATGATGAAAGTATTTTCTTTTTGGGGATTTTCTTTCTTTTTTGGGTCACCCTGCCTCGGTGGGAGACGGCCGACTTGTTGAAAAAAAAAAAAATTTTTAATGTATTTGTATGTGCACTCTGAGGCAGACTAGAACTATTCTTTTGTACGTCTTTCTCAGTGCAAGGAAGTGGTGACTTATTCATATATGCAAAAGCTCAACCCTTCACTCATGTAAAATCTCAACCTTACTTTAATACTTGCATATGGTGTCATTATCTAAGGAATATGAATAGTGACTACCCCTCAAGGATGGGGAGTTACAAGGGATAAAAAGCATGGAAGATATAGATAACATGTTAATACCATAAGTGTCTTAAAACATTTCTGCTGTTTCTGATACATGTGATGTAACAGTTATAATAATGTCATACTCATTATCATTATGGATTTCTTTTATTCTGTTACTGAGGCTTTGTCTGTTTTTTAAATACAGTAATTTTAGGTTGTACATGAGGCAATCTGCTTGAACTGTGAATCCAAATTGAATTTAAACTTTTGTTTTCTCCATCTTTATTTTAAACATTAACACTTGGTTACAGCTAGCATAAATTTGAATAACTTCCTACTATAATGTATTGTGCAAAGTATCATCCATTATAATTCATCTTATTTTCCTTACTAATTTGTAATTTACTCTATACCACATTTCAGCCCGTATAATTATATTTCCTTAACAGGTTGACAATACAACACACAACCAGATAGGGCTTTTTCATAGTGTCATGAGAAATTTGTTTTCCCAGGAAGTTTGGTGTTTCATTCACTTGAAGCAGGCTGGCTTCCCTCCATCACTTCTGATGTATGAGACTTATAAATTTTGAGGTGGTATCTGATACTTCTAAGTGACTTGTGTGTTAAATGGAATCCTGTAATTGTCCATTTCCTTATCATTTTGGCTGTTGAAAAAACCTGTTCTACACTTAGTCTTGATTCATTTGTAATTTTCTTGCGGACAATCAGTCTACAATGGCCGTGTCTTTTACATCTTTGAGAAAGCTTGCACCACTATATGGTAAAAATCACATTTTATTTAAAAATCTATTCTTTTGGCCTCTGATGCTTTCCCTTTTATCTAGGAGCCTTTTAAAAGACAGGGAAGATTTTTGTATTTTGGTAAGTAGCAATTTTTTAACTGCATTCACAAATAGAAGTCCCATAAGTGTGAGTCCTTGCACAACCTTTTTCCCAATTACCATAGACTACAATTCTTTCTCATAGAATTATGTAAATAATCTTCCCATTGCTTATGCTTTAACCCTTTCAAGGTCAGTACCGTAGTTCTACGCCATGAGCTCGGCTCACTCAGATAAGCTGTGAGAGGTAAATTTGGGCCTAAAAATGAGAGAAGGGGTCTATGTGGTAAGTGTGCACCATGTAAAAAAAAGAATCCTACAGCATGTGACCATGTTTTTGGTTTAAAACTGTGGCTTTGCTATGTATTTTCAAATGGTTTTTATGGTTGTATTCTCAGTTTTCTGGTTTCATTTGATAGAATGGAAGATATATATATATATATATATATTTATTTATTTATTTATTTTATTTTTTATTTGGACGTGGTACATAGGTGTACAAAGAAATATAGTGATTGGGTGTACATACCAAAAGCCCCTTGTATGCAGAGCATTATGGGCAGGCTTAAAATTAACTTAAGATTAACTAAGCAATGATATATTCAGTGGTAAAAATTACAGTAAACAAATTACAACATGAAGTACAAATGAGTATTTCAAATAAGCATTAAAGTTGTACAAATTTGTAGCATAACAATAACTATGTTTTTTTTTTAATTACATTACCCAATAGAATATCCCATTCTCTTGAATGCACAGTAACTCATCTAATGACCATATGACCTGTTTCTGCACTACAAAACATTGATTTTACTCGATCTGATTCGATTATATTATACAGTGGACCCCCGGTTAACGATATTTTTTAATTCCAGAAGTATGTTCAGGTGCCAGTACTGACCGAATTTGTTCCCATTTCAGACCCCCAAACATACACGTACAAACACACTTACATAAATACACTTACATAATTGGTCACATTGGAAGGTGATCGTTAAGCGGGGGTCCACTGTATAATATAATCGAATCAGATCGAGTAAAATCAATGTTTTGTAGTGCAGAAACAGGTCATATGGTCATTAGATGAGTTACTGTGCATTCAAGAGAATGGGATATTCTATTGGGTAATGTAATTAAAAAAAAAACATAGTTTGATAGGGTCACAGGTTATACATTTATGAGATTCAGTATTTATTTAGTTGTGGTTGAGTAAGTGGTTTTTAAGAAGTCTTGAATTGATAAACAGACAGTATTTCTATTATATTCACAGGTAATGAATTCCAGATTTTTGGGCCTTTTATGTGAATTGAGTTTTTACAGTGTGAGATGGACACGGGGAACATCAAAGAGTGATCTGTGCCTTGTGTTATGGTCATGTGTTCTGTCGAGGTTGGTAAGGAGAAGTTTGAGGGAAGGGTTTATATCCGAGTTCAGTGTTCTATGTATGTAGTAGGCACAATAATAAGTATGGATTCTGTGTACTGAGTAAGTTTAGAGTTTTGAATATTGGTGGAGTATGCTGCCT